CTGCTCTGTTTGGTCAGACACTAACCCGCCTCTGCTCCCTCGGCACGGCCAGACCAAATGACCTCGTGGGGGCCCGAGGCTGGCTGCACCCCTCTCCTGCCACGAGGAACAGTTCTGGGGGAAGAAGTAGGTTCATGGCCACCCGCGTGTGTTTCCCGCCAGTGACACAGTCCAGTCCCGTCTCAGAGGTCGGCATATGCGTTCCCGTGTTCCTCTCAGGGTGTGGCTCCCTGAGGCTCGGGCTGTCACGTGTACAAACCAGGACATACAGTATTTCCTTGTGAATCGGACTCACCTGCAACGGGCTGCCCCATTCTGTACGCAAACGCCTCGGTCTCTCCCCACTCCCCGCGTCGCCCCTCTGCCCTCCGAACCCCCTCTGTAGAGGTGGGGGATGGAGCCCCGTGGAGCGGGACATGGGGTGACCCGAGGCCTGATGACCCTGTGTGGTTGGGGCTGCTCCAGGGGAGCACTGCCACGCCGGGGAGGGGCTTGGGGGGCGTGAAGGATGTGGGGTTGGAAGTCACACTGGTTTTGTGACCTTCTGCTAGGAGGCTGTTGGGAGGGGCTGGGCCAGCCGGCCTGTGGGTGCTGATGGCTCAGGGGGGACGGTGACTTGGGAGGGGCGGGAGGGGCACATGGGGCCATAGCCAGTGACCTAGAGCTCTGGGTGGGGCAGCGAACCCGGGCGAGGTGGTGGGAGGAGGTGGTGAGAGCTGCTCCCAGGCTGTCAGTGGGTGGAAGGCAGGGAGGACGGAGCGTGTGTCATTCCCCGTGTGGCCCAGGCCTGTGTGGACATGGCTCAGCTCTGGAGCCCAGAGGTGCCCGCGGCCAGCAGAGCCGCCCTCACCGCGTACTTCTCCTGTGTCAGGTGCAGGGCGGCTGACGGGGCGCTCCACTGTCCTTCTCCCTTCTCCACATGGTGGCGGCTCCCAGGCCCTCTGCCTTGGGCAGCGGCTGAGTGTTCCAGTTAGTTCTGGGCAGTGGCCATGGGGGCTGAGGGGCCCTTGTCCCATGGGCAGGTGGCCTGCTCTGCGGTTGGGTGGATGGCCATGCCCCCGGCCCCATGTCCCTGCGCTGGAATCAGCTCCTGCCCTGTGGGGCTGGGTGGAGAGCGAGCGGGTGCAATGAGCAGCACCCAGGGTGTCCTGGGAGCCTCCTTGCTGCTGTCGGTGGTCAGACTCCCTTCTGAGAATGGGCCCTTTAAGAGAGTAATGGAGAGGGACGGGACCTTGGAAGGGTTTCCTTGTGGCCTGGGTGCACGCAAGAAGACTGGGCACCGCTGATTCTCTGAAAGGGACACGCGAGCCCTCCCAGGACAGCTGTGGGCAGACTCGGGAGCTGCTCAGGATGGGGAACCCCCCGATGGTGCACTGGCCCTCCTGACCACAGGCCGCCTGGCCCCTCCATCCTGTGAGGACAGGGACTTGGTTGACACCCTGAGCACCAGCTGCTGGGGACCCGATGGGGTGAGGAGGGGTTCATTGCAACCACAGCGTCCTCGGTGGGGAAGAGGGGACATACAGGGCTTCCTGTGAGCCTGGCTGAGTCCCCAGGACCCGCCTGTTTCCTCTCCTTTTTTAATATATCTTTATTGTTATAAATATTACATATGTTCCCTTTTTCCCCTCCATTGACTCCCTCCAGCCTGCCCTGCCCCTACCCCAGGCCTTCACCATTGTCTGTGTCCATGGGTGGTGCATCAATGCAAAGTCGTGGGTGGTCACCTCCCACCCATCCTCCACCACCTGCCCCCCGAGGTTCTGCACTCTGCCCCATGCTTCCGTGTCTCTGGGTCCACTCCGTTCATTAGTTTATTTTGCTCATCGGATTCTACCTATGAGTGAGATCATGTGAGACTTGTCTTTCTCCAACTGGCTTGTTTCACTTAGCATGATACTTTCCAGGTGTCTCCGTGCTGCCTCAAGGGTAAGAGGTCCTTCTTTTTCACAGCTGCAGAGCATTCCCTGGTGTCAATGCACCACAGCCTTTTGATCCCCTCCTCTGCTGAGGGATCCAGCTCTCAGCTGTGGTGATGGTGCTGCTAGGACCTTAGGGGGCACACGTTCTTTCTGGTGGGCGGGTGTTTCGAGGATCTGCCTGCCTGGTCATTTGGAAGAGTGTCACTGAAATGCTCGTTCAGTGCACGGACCCCCTGCTACCAAGACTCCTCCCCAAACCATTCCACACAGACGTCATCTCGGGCGTGAACATGAGCTCTGCAATATTTATGCTAATGGGGTTCATGAATAAATGTGCTTTTAAAAAATGCTGCTCTGAATGTTATTTTCCAAAGAGAACAGCACCCGATACACGTCTCACACAGGCGGGGCCGGGCGCCCTGGGCGAGGCCGGCAGTGTCTCCTGGGAATGGTTGGTAACCAGTGACTTTGAGGACACGAGGCTTTGGGAACACCACCCTCACACGGGTGAGCATGTGTGTCCACACTGCTGGAGATGGGGAGGCTCTGAGGGCATGAGAGCAGGGACACTAGGTCCTGGGAACTTCCCTGAGGCCCGTGGCTCCGGGCCGGGGGATGGTGGCACCTACAGGACACGGTGTCCTTTGTGTGTCCAGTGGCTTAAAGCAGGGACCTCTGGGGCAGCGGCCGTAGGGGCTGCTCGTGGTTATTAGAGTGGCTCTATCCATTGAGCCAAACTGGCCAGGCCCCATGAAGTTCTCTTTTCCTTTGTCATTGTTTTCTTAGATTTACTTCTCTTTTCCCAAGTTACTGCGACCACGAAATAACTTAGCCACACAGAACTTCCCTTTCTTCTCTTTTCTTCTTTTTTATTTAAAAACTAACAAAGAACTTAGTGACAAGTATAATAATTTAACCTCTACACGTATGCCATGGGAACATCTACAGAGGAAGGAGCACGACTGTTTACCTTGTTTTTTGTATCAAAGTTTTGACTTAAATCTTCCTAAGAGACGGATCGTGTTAGAGACACGTTGTGATGGAACTGCGAGATGCCTTTGGAAACACTCGTTTTTTCTGACCCGAAGACGCTGCGATTTCTAAATAGGAGGGGGCGCGTCTGCAGTCTCCTTCCTGCACGTTTTGTTGGTTTGTTGGTTGTTGTTCCGAACCTAGACTGCTCCGTTCACGAGGGCGGCGTGGGCGGGCGGCCACAGAGCCGTTAGAAAGCCACGCGCCCCCTCGCTCCATCCACCCGAGCGGGGGGCTCTCGGGACACAGGAGACAGCTTGTCGCAAACATTTTGAACGTTAGTGAAAAACAGTATAAACACATGAAACACGGCTTTCCAATTCCATGTCTGTGTGACACCGTTCCTCCGTGGTACAGGGTCCTTCTTTCCCACAAAACAGTTCTCAGCCCCGCTGACCCAGCCCCAAGGATGCGCATCCCCTCCTGCAGCGTCTCCACAAAAGCTGGCTGTGCTTCCTGTCCCAGGAGGGGACGTCTGGGACCCGCTGGAGCAGCTCCCAAAGGATGTCGGCACGAAGGATGCCAGCACTGTTTCCGGTTCTGACCCCAGGCCGACCCCTGCGAGGCCGCTGAGGACGGGCACACCGCAGACAGACGGAGACTCGCTGCTGCGTCAGGAGGGAGACGCAAGGCGAGAACCAGCTCTCGTCCTCCCGGCGGCCCCGCCCGGGGCACAGCTGCGTTCCCGGCAGTGGCCCGGGACAGTGCGTGCGTGCGGACGGCAGCGTGGATGTCGGACGGTGGGACAGAAGCGCGAACACTGGGTTTCCTCGTACGCTCACAAACTACTCAAAACGTGATCCGTACGGAGAAAAGGCAAAAGGGAGATCCCTACACGTCTTCTTGTGAAAAGCACACGAACGGACAGACGACGTCATTCAATAGACCAAGGGGTTCCGATTTCTATCAAAAGATACTGGCAAAGGGATGAGTGAAAAAATAAAGGAACTGAGATTTGTATTGCAATGTGTAATCAAAAGAGACCTCTGTCCGGGCTGATTGAAAAAATACCTAAAAACGTCTGGTTCACAGCTTCCCCCTAGCGTGTGAGTGATCACGGTTTGCGACTAGCTTAGGTGTGGGCGGTCCTACGTGGTGTGACGGCAGCCGCTGAACTAGACACGGGGCCGCGCTCCGAGGCGGACCGGCCTGCCTCGGTCAGCGCGGCCAGTGGTCCCGGCGCCGGCCTGCGCTCTGGGGAACGGTGTCTCCGAGACTGGTTCCCCGGAACACGTCCCCACGGCAGGGCCCTGGAGGCCGTGTCCTCCACTGTGTGTCTCTACGCAGGTCCTTGGGTTCCCGCCAGAATTCAGCGTGTGGCCTTTGGGTATCAAAAGATTAAAAATGAGACCTAAGAAAGCTCCGTGTCCAGCGGCAGCGCTGCCAGGCCTGGCCCGGGGCCTCCTGGCGGCCGGCCGTTTGGAAATGAGCAGTAAACGTGGCACAGGGGCGGCGATGGGGGGTGGGGGGTGCCCAGTCTCGGGGGTCACGTGGCTTAGCGCGACAGCACGTGAAGGCAGACACACAGAGTCCCGTGTGAGAGATGGTTCATGGTCTCCGGCCACTTGAAAAAATTGTGCTTTCTCCGGAGCGTGATGTGCTGGACCCCGCCCGCGCCCCCTGCGCGGTGGCCATGGAAGGGTGAGAATGAAGTCCTTGGCAATCGTAAGGCTCGCTTTTCCTCGCCCTGTCTTTAGGATGAAGGCTTGGAAGTCATGATGCGTCTCAGCTGTGCACGGGGGCCGCCCGCCCGCCGATCGGCAGGTGGACACAGCCGCCGGCCGCCGGCCAGGCCCGGGCGGCGTGGCTAGTTGTCCTCTCGGTTTCACGTCCCACGTCCGAGGGCGGCGAGGGGCCGCCGGCAAGTGGCGCCGGGACGCCCTCGCTCCGCCAGCGGTCCGTCCGTCCGTGCGAAGGCCTTTTTGGTGAGCAGGGCGGCGCCCTCGGCGGCCACGGGGCCCTCCGTCCTCCTCGCTTCGGACAGGGACGGGGCGGGGCGCCCCCGTGGGTGGTAAAGAAGGCCGTGGACTCCACAGGCCACGCGCGTTAGAGGAACCAGAGTTTCCACCTCCCGTGCTTTTTGGGCTCCGTTTTGGACTTCCGCTTGGGCGGCGAGGCGTGAGCCTCCTGAGAGTAAGGCGAGGGTGCGACCTGAGAGTCCTCGAAGGGGTGGAGGCTCCGCAGGACCGGCTGCAGCTTGTCCTCCTGCTGCTTGAAGTCGAGCTCCACGCTGGAAAGGAGAGAGCAGTGCCTTTAGTGGCGGCCTCTCACCGCAAAGGTCCCCCCCAGTGACCTGGCCGGGATCATCGTTCATGCATATCGTGTTCATACCGTCAGCTGACGGCTCCGTGTTGAGCAGTCGGTTGCCATCTATTTTATGTCATTGTGAGGTACCCTTGACTAGTTGAGCGATGTATGGGTTCAAGGTACCGGTCTCCCTAGCAGTTGACAATCTTTTTAACCTTTTTTAAATTTTATTTTATTTTTTTATTGACTTCAGAGATGAAGGGAGAGGGAGAGAGATAGAAACATCTATGATGAGAGAGAGTCATTGACTGGCTGCTTCTGCATGTCCCTCCCTCACTGGGGATCGAGCCCACAACCTGGGCATGTGGTGTGACCGGGATTTGAACCATGACCCCCTGGTTCATAGGGCATTGCTCAACCCCTGAGCCATGCTGACTGGGCTGTGTGTGACTTTTGACCCCCCCAAAACCTTAACTAATAGCCTACTGTTGAGTGGGGGCCTTACAGATAGCATAGTCGCTTACCATGTATTTGTGGGTTACATGCATCATATCCTGTATTCTTACAGTCAAGTACGCTAGAGGAAGGGAAATGTCATCAAGAACATCATAAGGAAGAAGAAAACACACTCATGGTATTTTTATTGAAAAAAAGAAACCCGCTTGTAAGTTCAAACCTGTGTTGTTCAGGGTCCATTGTGTTTCAAATAGACTTCTTTTCCTAGAAAAATAACTGGTTTGTTTTCATTCTGAACCCCTAGAGTGTCCACACGCACAGCTGGGGTCAAGTATGTCCAGACCTGCATATCGACATTTCGGTCAGGGACGGCCACGCGGGGGACGGGACGGGAGTCCCGAAGGTGAGGCCGAGCTGACCCCACCTGTTGCCTAGTGACACCGTAGCCATCACAGCAAGCAGGTGCCCGGGTGTCTGTGGGGATGCTGGTGTAGGCCCCCCTACCCAGCCCATCATGTAAAACTGACCCCACACACTTATGTTCATGGTATGGGATGATGCCCAGCCCGTCATGTAAAACTGACCCCACACACTTACGTTCATGGTACGGGATGATGTCCACGGACGGGCACATGGCTTTGCTGGCACGTGCTTTGCCAACTGGACGTCTCATGGTTGCTTGTGAGGGCCCTTTCTCATGGAAACAGCGTTGTCTGTGAAAAGCGTGGAGCCCGGGCACACAGGCCAGGCCGTGTCGCCACGTGTGCAGGAGGTGCACCAGCCAGGTGAGTGGAAGTGCCCTACAATGCTCGCACACGACCTAGCTGCCCAAAGACACGCTTCTCAGACTCGTCCCCGTGGGCACATGGCGCGTGGCCGTCACGCGCTGGAGTGGAGAACGTGGCGTCGGGAGTCACCCTCGGCTCGTCCGTGGACTGCACGCGGGATAAGCAGGTCAGAAGGCCTCTCAGCACACACGTGCCGGCGCATGCAAGCTCTGTTCTGGTCCCTTCTCCACGGTCACAGCGATGGGTTCCCAGCGGATCGCTCGGCGAACGAAAGGCCGTGATTCCGTTCTCTGGTCCAGTCCGAGCCGCCTGGGGAGCGAGGACACCAAGGTGCCGACGTGGGCGAAGGCGGCGGGTTCATCCCGTCGGCACCTCGGGCGGCAGTCACTGAAGGCGGCTGCTGAGGCAAAAGCACGGAGTCTGGCGGAGCTGCCGCGCGGACACAGGCAGCCCCGTGGGCACCGCACAGCCGAGGAGATGGTGTGACAGCGGCAGGATCCGCGTGGCTGTTTGAGGAAATGCTGTTTCTCAGGGAATTTCTTCAGAGCACACAGCTTGCTGAGAGTCCGCCCTTCCCTTCGTGTCGAAAAGGCCGTGGTCCATCCTCCAACCTTCACTAACTCTTTACGGTCGCCTTGGCCTTGGGACCGGACGCCGGGTCCTGTGTCATTTTTCCGTAAGCAGCCCTCATTGCCGAGCCCGCGGCCCCTCCGCCCGCCACCCCGTGCCCCTGGCATCCTCCAGTCGGACCCTGCACCACGCCGCCAGGCTCCAAGAGCTCCGCTCGTGCCCCTTCCGTGTGTGGCCTGGGTGCCCGGCTGAACGTCAGTGGATTTCAGTCAGGGTCCAGTGACCAGGAGAATCCGTGAGCTCCCAGCATTTATAAACATGAAGCCCTACTGGCTCAGCGGTCCATTAATCCTGGACAGACCCTGACACCGAGGAGAGAAACTGCCACGTTGTGTGATCTGCGGTTCTAAACACAAGCTGAGACCCAGATAATGGCCATGTTGTGTTTTTCATCCACTGTTCCATTTCCTTATTGTCGGAGGCTCTGCACTATTATGGAAAAGTTAGAAATATTGCCAGGAGGTTTACAGGGGTAGAGGCAGCACTTGTGGCTTAGGTCCTGCTCACCTGGGTCACATGACAATGGACATAGCGTCTCACCTGGATCACGTGATAGTGGGCATAGCTCTTCACTTGGATCACGTGACAGTGGGTATATGCCTCTGAGGACAGTTGTGAAAGGTGGGAATCTCAGAACGCACTGCGTCTGAAAGCGCAGCCCTCGGGTCCTTTATCTGAGGCTGTGGGAACCTCGAAGGGAAGGGATCTGTGCTGTCGATGTTGGGGGGCAGAGGCTCCCCGAAGCGCCTTATCCTCCTTAGGGCTCAGGGTTATAATCACTACTGCCCGACTGTCGCCCTGAATTAGGTAAGGATCCCTCACCCGCCCGCTCCCCAAAAGCAAAAGTTGGAGAAAAGGTTTTCTAAACTGTGACGTGTAAGTCAAACCTTACGTTCTGCTGATTATCAGCTGACCGTCAATTCTGCATCGAGAAAAGGAGCTGGCGGTGATCGGGGCAACACCTACGGGGGTTCTTCACCTGGATATTTAACAAAAAACACAGGACCTCGCTGCCGAGTCTGCGAGATACGGCGTCCTGTACGATACCATGTTTGATACGATACCGTGTCCGGTATGGCATGGCAGGGACAAGAAGCGATTGTCCCGGGGCGCTTGGTGCACGCGGAAAGCGTGTCCCCCACACCATAACCACGGCGGGACCCCGTGCCGGCGATCACCAGGCCGTGGGGCGGTGCTGGCTGTCCCCGGGCCAGCACCACGGCCCTGGGTACCTGTAATCATCGGATTCCCATTAAGTAACTACACTGGGAATCGCGTTATTAACCAATTTATCACACCGCAGAACCATGTAATCACAGAGAAATCTAATCTGGGCCCTTGTTAGCGGGAGGGCTGGACTTTCTCTCTCCGGTGGATTCCTATTGGCACTTCTCCATTACCAGCGGCTGCGCCCGGCGGTGAGTCCTGGGGGGGGCGTGTGGTGGTGGGGGGACTGCCGGCCGTGGGGCAGCCTGGTGAGCCCCGGCCTCCACCCTCCCCTGCCCGATGAGCCCCGTGTGGGAATCGGAGGAGCACGCGTCCTCGAGGTTCCTTGGCGAGGAGCCGTGGACGCCCATGGGCGCGTGGCCGCTCTCTGGCTCCCGTGGGCCTGGTTCTGAGACATGGCTCCCGCGGGCACCGCCGCAGGGTCAGCAGACAGGGCCGTCTCCTGCCAGGGCCTCACGTTCGCCGCGTGCTTTTCCCCACAGACACCCGAGCTCCAAGGCTCACAGGGCTGGTGCCGCGAGCACCCGGCCCCACGCCCACGGCTCCCCTTTCTGTTCACGCAGAGGAAACCCCCCTCGGGTGCCCGAGGCCAGCATCAGGGCAGGCGCAGGTGGTGGACACCCCCCGCTCCGCTTCCTGCAGCTCCCGAAGAGGCACGTCACCAACTCACACAAAGGTCCCTGTGCACGGCCGTCCTCTTCCTGCTTCGGGGAGACGCGCTGAGGGACCCCAGGGCTCAGCTCCCGCCGGGAGAACCCTCGCTCCCACTGGCCTCCTCCCAGGGGCCGGGCCGGGGCTGGCGGGAGGGAGCTGTCCAGGAGGTCGCTGAGCGATTGCGAATGGTAAACCCCCCCCCCACCCCCTCCTCCACGGGGTAGTTCCCGAAGAAGAGGAATCCCTGTTCTCCGCAGGCTGTTAAATCGCCTCTAATACCGCCTTTAATGTATGTTCCTCCTGGATTTAGAGCCAAAGGTATTCAGATGTCTCCGGTTACATGGCGGACGTCCTAATAAATTCTCTTCTCATCTCGCGTGGAATGTTAAAACGGGTGTGGGCTCACCTCGCGCACTCCGGGCCTTCTCGGGGAGTCTGTGGCTCACGTCTGCCCGGGGGCTCAGCGTTAGCTCCCGGGGTAGCAAAAGGTGAGCCCCGAGGACATGCGTGAGCGCCCTTGTTCCCTCCTGATGGCGTGAAGGGTGACAGGTCAGGGACACCGCCTCACTCTCCGTTCAGTTCCCTCCGCAGCGTGGACGCAGGGAAACAGGCCCCACCGGCGTGCAGTGCAGGGCTCCTGCTCCTGACCCCAAGGGAGCGGCCATCAAACGCATACCAGTTAGTGGAACCGCTAAGACACATGAGATACACGCGTTCAAGCTCCCCCTGGTCCGGTGAGCACATACCTGGGGTTGCGCCGGTGGAAGGGGCTGGATTCTGGTGGAGAATGCCCTTTCCTTCCTGACTGCTGTCCCCCTCCCAGCGCGGGGCCCCTGCGTCTGTGGGTAAGCGTGGCCGTCGCTCTAACAGGGGAGGGGGTACGTACCTGTAGATGATGCAGGCGCTGTTCCTGCACGTGTCACAGTTGGCCGTGTCCTGCCCGGTGCGGTAGGAGAGCCTGCGGGGGGAGAGCAGAAGTTACAGGGGGGCCGGGCCGCCGTCCCAGGGGCCACTCCTCACGGCGATGGGGAAGTCACGCGTGCCCATCTCGCTCCTCTCTCTGTGGCTGCACCCCCGCAGCCGCCCCAGCTCAGACGGTGTGTAAATTAAATCTGGAACGCGAACACAAGCTGCCGGAGGAAGCGATAATCTGGTTTGGTTATGAGCAGAGGGAGCCGGGGATGCTTCCGTGCGGCTTTACGTGTCTGGTGTTTGCAAGGAACCCGGCGGGGAAACCAGCTCCCCCGTGTCTGCCCCCAACCTCGAGGGGCAGGTTTCCGTGAAGCAGGCCCCCTCCTCCCCCGGTTCTCCGTCCACGTGGCTGTCGGTGGAGACCCCCGAGCTGTGCAAACCTTGGCTTAAATTCCGGGTTCCACCTGGAAGCGGCTTCTGTGTCCTCGTTACGTTTTGCGTCACACGGACGCCCGGCCTAGGATTTCTCCTCGACGCCCTAGCGTCTCCGTGACCCGGGGACGAGGGACCGCATTCTGCCCGGCGTGGCGCCGTCCTGGTCTGTGCCGTCCTCCTGGTTGAGCAGGATTGGGGGTGGTCCGTGGCGGCATTTGTGTTGATCTTCATCCACCACCACTTCCCTTTGGGGGCGCCTTTGGGACCCCCCCATCGGCCTTTCTCGCTGCCGTGGACTAGGGCAGGAGAGGAAGAGGGCAGAGTGTGTGCGTGGCACCTCCCCTTTTCCTTCGCCAGCCCCCTTCCCGACACGCCTCCCCTCCCCAACCAGCCCCCCCCTCACATTCCCGCCTGGCCTGGCGGTATTCCAGGACCCCGTTATCAGGACCGTGGCTTGGGAGACCCCTAGGCGTGGCCTCAGGGTTTGCTTTGGACCTTCCTGTGTGAAAAGGAATCCGACGCTTGGCGTCCGTAGTAGTTTGTGGGCGTGGAGGTCCGTGACAGATTAATTTCTGAGTCAAGTTCCATGCGCTGCCTCCTGCCCTGGGGTTCAGGCGCAGGCCGCCTCCGCCCAGGTGTGCTTGCTGCTCTTTATTCCACCGAGGACTCACCCGTGGGCTCAGCGCTTCGATAATCCATCTCATTGTCCTAGGCGCCTCCACGCTGCAGGGTTTGGCTTCGCTGGTCATTCTACCGTCACCTTCATCATTGCGCCGCAGCCTCTGAGGGGACATGCTCTCCGGATACAGACCCGGCAGGTGCCTTGTTGCTACACGACAGGGAACACACATATGGATTTCCCCTGGTTTCAGCTTCTCGCTGGGAAGCAAGCCGTAAAGCCAGGACGTGGGGTGGTTTCCCCCTTTCCACCTCTGTCACCACGAGGAGCGGGCACGGAGGAGCAGGGGTGTCTCCAGGGCCAGCGGGGCCCGCGCTGTCTGTGACGGGAAGTGAGGAGAGAGAACTCGGGTGGTGCTTGTTAGAGCCGCGGGGGAGGGAAGTCCTGATCAGAAATCAGTGTGCTCAGTCTTGCAGGCGAACGGCTCCGTCGGCAAATCTCTCTTCCCTTCTGACCTGAGAAACTCACGATGGCGCAGGCTTCTCACCCTGGGCCGGTCTGGTGCCCGGCACGCCCCGGTGTTTGCTCCATGTGGATCTGACCAAATAAGACAGTCTCTGTGCTCTCAGATGGAAGTGCAGAGAGAGACAAGTCTAATGAGAAAAATTCCAGCCGCGTGCAGAAAGCAAATGAAAAGTATACATTGTGGGACGCTCTGGCCCTCGTTTGTTCCCATCAGGAGCCCCGGCGGACCCCCGAGACAGGCGTGTTCGGTGGAAATATGGGTTTTTAACGCATCGATCTCTGTAGCACCCGCCCTGTATTGCGCCGTGACAATAATTTGCCGGTTGCCATGATTTCCTGGTCTTAGAGATGCATAGAGTTTTAAGAAAACAGCATTCAGCACCAAGGACAGCGCCGAGACTCCGAGTGAACCTTTGCAGGGCTTTTTTGCCTCCTTCCCTCTTCTGTCCTCCCACCCTCACCATCCCCACCCACTCGCCATCCCTCGGGAGCACAGTTCCCACCCCAGGACCCACCTGGGACCCTGGGCCTCTCCTCGGGTGATGCCACTGGGCCCTCATTGGTCGTGGGGGGGCTTCAGCGGGAGGCAGAGGAGACGGCGTGAGCTATGGAATTGAGAGGGGGGAGCGTGGGCTTGTGGGGAGCTCGTGGCGGTGCCGGGCTTGTTCCCAGTTGGCCGAGGCAGGAGGCTCTGCACAGGCTGAGCTTACCACGCAGTCTAAGTCTGAAGGTCACTTCCACTCCTGCTTGGCAGGGAGGCCGCTGTTCGGAGCTCTGGGCTCCTCTTCAGTGGAAGTGTTTGGGAGACGGCATGAGCTCCAGCCTGGGCTCCCCCGTTCTAATAAAAGGCCGGGGCCCCCATGGAGAAGCCTCTCCTCGCACCCCGGGGCGTGTGACGTTGGATTCAGAGAAGCTGTGAGCACCCTGGGGTCTTGGCACGCACCTGCCGCGGCCGGGCCTCAGCCTGTGCGGGCGGAGACAGGCCCTGCCGAGTGTCTGTTCTTGTAAACACACGGTGGTTCTCGGCCAGGGTAGTGTCTCTAGCACCTGAGCAAAGGGCACCTGGGGTCAGGGTAAGATCGAGGCGCGCTCCTGTCACTGCGGGCTTCGGAACACGGGGCCCCGGGATCCCTGGCGCCGCCGCCCCGAGTGAGGCCGCAGTGCGGGCAGCGGCGGCAGAGCGGGGCCAGCTCTGCTCCCGGCAGAGAGCTGTGCGCCCGTTAGCTTGTGCCCTTCGTCCCGGTGCACCGGTTCTGTCCGCGGCGTCCTCCCTGGTGCCAGAGACCGGCTGTTCCTGCCTTGGCCTTGCTCGGGTCGTGTGCCAGCTGCCCCGTCCTGATAACCAGCCGCCATTTATCTCCGCCTCCTCAGGGGCTTCTGCACGCCGGGCCCGCACAGCATTGATTGCAGGCGGAGAGCCGCGCCCTCCTGTCGCCGGGAGGAGCGGATCGCCAGAGCGGGGACAGTCAGCGGTTCTCCGTGACCCCGCACAGGGGCTGAGCAACTCCCCCCCAGCTGTGTCCGGGCCGGGTCCCGAGTCTGGGGTTTCACTAGGGGTTCGCCAGCTTGTGTTTGGAAGCGTGGTCTCGTCGCCGCCAGCTCCTCAGGAGCCACAGTGCGGGTAGAAGGAGGTGACCTGTCCCACGCACCGTTCACAACAGGATCTGGGGACACCCCAGCTCATCTTGTTAAAACGTGACGTCGATTTTCCTAACGAACTCAAGGTCACCGGTCAGTCAGGGAGGCAGTACTGGCCGCCCGGTGAGAGGGTGACTGTCGTCTCCTGGGAGCCGAGTGGCGACGTCTGTAGCCGGCGGCGGTCCCGCTGTGTTCCGCTGAGCAGCTCTGGGTCCCCTAGTGGCCAGGGTCCCCACACAGACAAAGCAATTGGTTTAACTGAGGAACAGTGACTCCCCTCTCTGTGCCCCCCACTTCCCCTGCCTTAGGGGCGTCTGAGGGGGTTGGCTGTGTGAAGCTTTCTTAGGGTGCTCAGGGCGCACCCTCGGGAGCAGCCCCCTCGGTCCTCCCAGTGCCCTTTGACCTCCTTCAGTAATTTCCCTACATGAACACCTGCCCTCGGGTCTCATCCTGGCGGCCTTGTATCTTGTTTGCCCCGCCAGTCCATGTTGGGGTGCTAATCCATGTCGGGGTGCCAGTCATGGAGGGGTGTCAGGAAAGGTTTGGAAGGCATGGAATGAGGGGTGCAGAGAAGAGGGGAGCGTTGTGGGTGCTTGGCCCAGAGACACGTTTCCAGGGAGTCCCCAGATCCGCCGGGAAAGGTGAGACCGTCTTTTGCAGAGCTCAGTGGAAATTGCACGGGATTTTAAAAAGCATCTGAAAACTAGAACCTGCTTTTCATCCCTTTGAAAGAAGAATCTGAATTCCAGGACACAAATCCATAAATTCCATAACCGCTCGGGTCGTGCCTGGAGCCTCTTGTTCGCTGGCAGATGGGCGTCTGCGCTGTTTACCTGCCCGCCGCGGAGGCTGGGGGCGGCATTTGGAATCTGCATTGCACTCTGCGGAGGGAGATTATTTAAATTACATTTCCAAGTGTGCGAGCCTACGTGGAGCCCAAAGCAAGAATGTGGAACGTGGTTTATAGTCTTAGCAGTATATTGGCTTCATTTCTCACATTAAGATTGGGAAGCCTGTTATTTTTCAGGAATGTAAAAAATAGTGTTTACAAAGTTATACAAACACACGCTACAGAGAAGACTCCCCGTGGCCCTGTGGGTAAAAGAAAATGCTAGAAAGAATTGACGCGGGCTTCCCTTTCAAAAGCATCAGATATGACAACGCACACTTGGGCTTCAGAAATGGAGTACGTTATCACAAACGTGTGGAAGCCATCGGTTGCCGCAGAAACAGAAAAGGACAGAGGCCAAGCCTGGCACGGATGTTGGTAGAAGGATGAGGGATGGGCGAGGGATGGGGAGGCGAACAAGGAACAGAACTGTGGGGTCGCTGTGTGTGTATTGATGGGCACCGATAGCGGCCTCCTTCCCTCTCCCTCTGTCTCCCTCTCTCCCTCCCTCTCTCTCTCAACCTTTGTGAGTGTTCTCAGGCAGTGGCTGAAGTGATGTTCTTAGACATTTCAGAAAATCTGTCTGTAGAGCAGAAAGAAGCCTAGGTGCCTCCTCTCACAGGGGCCCTTCCCTAACATGGGAACACGCAGCTCAGGGAGGCTGGGCCAGTGTGAGCCATGCCCAGCCCACGGGTCCTGGCTCCACACCAGCGGCTCTGTCCGTGACAACAGATAAACTTCTCCTGCACGTGTCTCTGAAAATGAGTACAAAGCCCGAGGCCTCCGTTCTGTAATCCTCAGCCTCTCCCACCCCTGGGAATAAAGCAGCCTCTTTACCAGTGGTTCTCAATCTCCCTGATGCTGCGACCCTTTAATACAGTTCCTCATGTGGTGGCCACCCCGACCATAAAATTATTTTCGTTGCTACTTCATAGCTGTAAGTTTGCTACTGTTATGAACTGTAATGTAAATAATCTGTGTTTTCCGATGGTCTCAGGCGACCCTGCTAGCGGTTCTGATTCTCAACCTTTGAGTCATGGCCGACAGAGTGAGCTGCTGTAGAGCCTAAGACCATCGGAAGTAACAAAGTAACTAGGAAGTAACAAAGTAGCTAGGAAGACAGCAGGGTCCTGGACAAGTGCCCTGTCCCCTGCATTTCACTCAGTCTCCAGAGCAGCTCGGGAGGCAGGCTCTGAGCTCCTTTGCAGATTGAGCAGCTGAGGCTCGGAGAGGGGAAAAAGCGGCCCCAGCACCATCAGCGGGGGCGGCAGGACAGCGTTGCCGACTCTGAGCTGAGCCCCATCCTTCCACTCGGTCCCCCTGCTCCTCTCACTGGGCACCTGGAAAAGCCAGTGCCAGGAGCAGCCGCCGCGGCCGCTGGCAGGCTGTCAGCTGTGTGGGTGACAGCCAGTGTGCAGACACAGACACACATGCATCTAGAACATCAGGGATCCGGGCTCAGGGTGGGAGGAGGAAGGGACGGGGCGCAGCTGCAGGGCAGGACCCTCTGGCTTCTGATCCCCCTGCCGGGCCGAGGCAGACGCCACCCGAGAGGCCGGCTGGCAGAGCACCAGGAGGCCAGAGAGATAACGGCGCCCGCGCCCTCTCCTAACCACCGCCCAGCCAGCCAGGGGAGGCGTGGGTCTGAATTTACTGCGTGGGCAGGTTTTGGCAAGAGCGACCCCATCGTCCTTGAACAGGGCGCCCAGTTCTCGGGGAATGGGGGCACGACGGACCCTGGCGAGTCCCCGGGCAGAGCCTCGCCCTGGCCCCGGCGATGGCGTCTCTGCGCAGGCGTGTGGTCTTCTACGTTGACGCTTCTGCTCTGACTGGGACGGAAGACACTGTGCCCCCTGCGGCCTCCAAGACAGGGAGGCGGCCGCGGTTCCGGTGGGCATGGGCGTCAGGGTGAGGACAGCGGAGGAGCGCCTGCCCCTGAGTGATCGCCCCTGAGACCATAAGGCGAGGCAGGTGTCCCACTTCTGTCCGCCGAGCGTCAGGTCCGAGGCGAAAGCAAGTCACATCGCGCAGCGCGCCGCTGGGAGAGCCAGACCCTGCCCGTGTGTCACAGGGAGTACCGTGCATGTCGCCCATTAAACTGCAGCCCCGGGGTTCAGGGCCCCTCTCTGCCCCCCACGTGGCCAGGCTCTGCCCCACCCTCCGCACACCCCACCCCAGGCCTGCAGGTGACACCTAGTGAGGCCTGATGAGGAACATCGGCTTCCCTGGGGCCGACAGACCCCACCTCGTGCTGGAGCACCGGCCCGCGTGCAGAGCACTCGCTGTGCTCCAAGCAGGAACTGGCATGGCCACCGGCCCAGCTCAAAGGCACCACCTGCCCTGCGCCAGCACCGTGCCCGAGGGCGAGACCGCGGCCCACCAGGCCTGCTGCCGCCTGCCGTGCCCAGTGGGTGTGAGGCAGCATTTCTCAGGAGATTCAGAGCCAGGGGCGCCTGCCCCCCGTGGCTGCCCTTAAGGCCGGTGAGATTCCATGCCCAGCAGGCCCTCCACGCTAGGCATGCCGGGAGTGAGGGGTAAAGGAGGGAGGGAGGGAGGGGGTGAAAGGTGGGGAGAGACATTGATTTTACCCAGCTTCTGAGCCTCCTCCACTCTCATTACAAACGGCAGCGTGTCTCCCAAGGAAAACGCACTGATACTTGAACTTGGCCGTGAGGCCCTGCACCGCTTACATAATGTATGATCGTCTCCACAGAGTAGAGGGAGTTTGCTGCCTTCTGCCCTGGGAGGCAGGCAGAGCACTGGCTTCCCAGCTCTGATGGACCCTGCGGGGTTCCTCCCTCTGAAATGAGGGTCTTGGGGCGGGCCGTCAGGCCCCACGCTCAGGGGGCCGGGACGTTCAATGTGCGGGGCCTTGCGATGGTGGACATACACCCAGGATATCAGCAAATGCTGCTCCCCCTCCCCCCACGCTGTCGCCAAGGAAACATCAGCCGGCTCCCTGCCCGGACCCTGGAGAGGGACGAGGTGCCCCCTGAGGCGGTTCCTCTCCACATTCCCTCTGGGGAAAGGGGGGAGCTTGAGTTTGGACCAGACGAATGACCTGGGCACAGCACGAGGGTCGCCGGCAAGGCGGGCAGGGGTTTGAAACACCTGCTGCTTGGTCCTCCGAGTGCTGAGTGCTGGAGCCGGAGGAGGAGGCTTGGGACAGAGGTGGGCACGGGGTCTACGACCGGCATGCCCGGGGAGCCCTGTTCGCTCTGGGATGAGTCCATGCTCAGTCCACGGGCCTGAAGCGGGAGGAGGTGGAGATGGGGGCCTGTTGGCAGCCTTTGACGGCAGGTCCCTCGGGATCTCCTGGAGATGGCCTGCGGCTGGAAACGCGATTTGCTGGCGCCCAGTGACTGCAGACTCTGCACTGGGATGGGAGGCGGGGTATCGAGGACTGACTCCTCACGTAGGTGGGGCTCCCCCAGAAGCCAAGGCAGATCCTGCTCCCCGCACCTTGCCCACAGCCTGCCAGCCCCCCACGGCCTGCCAGCCTCCCACTGCCTGCCCCACCACACATGGCCCGCCCCCCACAGCCTGCCCGCCCCTCTACTGCCTGCCCCTCCATGGCTGCCCTTCTCCCCATGGCCTGCCCCCCCCCCCCGGCTTGCCCACCCCCCACAGCCTGCCCTTCCCATGGCCAGCCCCACCACACATGGCCCGCCCCCCATGGCCTGCCCACCCCCCACGGCCTGCCCACCCCTCCAATGTCTGCCCTTCTCCCCATGGCCTGCCCCCCTTCCTACTGCTCACCCCCTGAGGCCTGCCCACCCCTTTCCCTCCCCCCTCATGGCCTGCCCATCTGGGCTCAAGTTCAGCATCCTAGCTTTTGGTCATTTGTTTTCAAATTTGCTGCAGCCCAATTTCACGTTCACAACCTGGGAACCACAGTTCAGCACCTAGCCCGGCTGGCATGGCTCAGTGGGTGAGCGTTGACCTATGAACCAGGAAGTCAGGGTTCCATTCCTGGTCGGGGCACAGGCCCGGGTTGAGGCTCCATCCCCAGTCAGGGGCGGGTTGGGGCTCTATCCCCAGTCAGGGGCGTGCAGGAGGCAGCTGGTCCGTGACTCTCTCCCCTCATGGATGTTTCTCTCTCTCTCCTTCTCCCTTCCTCTCTGACATCAATAAAAACAAAGTTCAGCATCTGTTGCCAATGCCGGCTGTTAGAGGTGTTGTTCCCTGTCACCTGGGCCTGGAGGGCAGTGCGTGCGGGAGGCACCTCTCCCACCGCACACGGACGGCTTGCCTGGGGACGGGCGCTGCTTCTCGGAGTTGCGGGGAAGGAAGGGAACAAGTAAAACCTGCCCAGCCTGAGTGCCCCCGCTGCCCCATTGTTCACTTAAGTGAGTGAGCACCTGCTTTTCAGAAGGTCACCTGGAACCTTTCTTCTCTGCCCCGTGCTGTGCTTCCTCAGCGGGGGCAGTGTCCATGCTGGGACCTGCCTGGCTGTTCTCCCTCATCACCATAAACTAAGGTGACCAGGCGTCTCGCCTTTGGCGGGACAGTCCCGATTTTTAACAATTTGTCCCGCAGTGTCTTAAAAAAGTCCCGATTTTTTTTAAAACGCCGCGGGACAAATTGTTAAAAATCAGGACTGTCCCGCCAAAAGCGAGACTTCTGGTCGCCTTACTATAAACCCTTCACCCTGGGACATCGTGCCTCTGGAGGGGGAGGGCGGTGTGAAGGGCAGGCGGTGGGGGGGCAGAGCTAGCCCACAGCCACCTCGAAGGAGTGCATGCAGGGGGTCTGGCCTCAGAGCCCGCCTGTGCCCGCTGGGCTCGCTCTGTGCTCGGCGGCAGCTGCCCCCGGGTCGGGCTTGGGGGAGAGGGGGCCGGGGGCAGGGCGGCGTGAGGTGTGTGGGCATACGTACCCTTCGCGGTGGGCCTCGCCCTTCTCCAGCTCCTGGATGACGCCCAGGAGCACTTTGATGGTCTCCTGGCTGGAGCTGATCAGCGTCTCCATCACCTGCAGCTGTGCCTTGAGGTCCACCACTTCCGTGGGAGGCACGAGTTGTTGGCATTCCTCCCCGCCGGCTGCCCCCTCGGGGGCCGGAGACTGCGGGGGGAGGTCACTACATTCGGGGGACAGGCACTGCGTCGTCGGGGGCGCCTGGAGTCCATTGAGATCCGAGGGGCAGAGGGACCACTGGCTGGTGGCGGCTGAGTTCGACAGGGCGGGCTCGGGGGCCTGGGCGCCGGGGGCGGGCGTGTAGACGGCGGCCACCTCCGTTTTAAACACCCTGCCCTGGCCCGCGGGAGCCGGCTCCTCCGTGCCCGGCGCGGCCCGGTCCCGTGGGGCTGTCCGGTCCAGCTGGTGGGCGGTCTCCCGGGAGGGAGGCTGGGGGGCGTTCCGGAGCGCGCTGCCCGGGCAGCTGTGCCCGCGGGGGTCCCGGCACAGCTCCGCGCAGCCCAGCCCCGCGGGCCGGCCCAGCACGTCCACGTGCTGGTGGGAGCGGAACACCAGGGCCGCCGCCTTCTGCGCCTGGCCGGCCGCCCACGCCGCGGCCTCCGCCCCGGGCCCCTGCGCGGCCCGCTCCTGGGCGTCCAGGACGAAGCCGTTGTTCTGGCTCCGGAAGGCGCCCTCGGCCCCCGGGACGCCCTTGAGGCTGCCCCTGCGGCGGTCGGGCGGGAAGGTCTGGTAGCACTTCCTGCGTTCCGGCGAGGTCTGCACGCCGGTGCTGCGGGTGACGTTGGGGATGGCCCTGCGGGCGGGCACGGTCATGTACTTGCGGTAGGCCGCCCGGTAGGACGCCGCCCGGGCCTCGCGCCTCTCCGGCCCCGGCCCGGCGGCCGGCGGCGGCTCCCGCCGCTCGCTCTGCGCCTCGCAGATGTCCTTGAAGCGCACCTGCAGGGCCTTGTTCCGCTTCCGCACCTGCCGCCCGGGGTCCAGCGCGTACTTCACCTCCAGCGCCAGGCAGGCGGCCGGCTCCGCGTCGCTCTCGGGGGCCGGGAGCGCGCCTTTGCCCGCGTCCTTGCTGACCATGGTTCCTGCGGGCGAGACAGCGACAGAGGCGTCAGTGCGGGGAGGGCACAGCAGCAGGACCGCTTCCTGCTGACGCTCAATTCTTTTCATTTTACTTTTTGCTATTGGTTTTCACCCGAGGGCATTTTCCCATTGGATTTTAGGGAGAGGGGAAGGGAAGGGGAGAGACGACGAGAGGAGTCTCGATGTGAGAGAGACACATCGATTGGTTTGCCTCCTACGTGCGCCCCAACCAGGGCTCCCACGGAGGTGCGTGCCCTTGACCGGAACCTAACCCGGGACCCGTCGGTCTGCAGGCCGTTGCTCTAGCCACTCAGCCAAACCAGCTAGAGCTTAATTTATTTTAAATAGATTTTCATTGATTTCAGAGAGCAAGGGGGAAAGAGACATTAATGACAATCAGCTGCCTCCTGCATACCTCCTGCTGGGGATCTAGCCAGCAGCCTGGGCATCGGCCCTGACTGGGAATGGAACCCTGGCCCCTTGGTTCCTCGGTCGATGCTCAGCCCCTGAGCCACGCCAGCTGAGCTTTCTGGTTATTCCTAAACAGGGAGGTGGCCGTGACATTAAGAAGTCAGGCGGCCCTGCAGGCACAGCTGCAAGTGGTCTGATAGGAAAGCCTGCCTCCTCGGCCACGTGGGAGACGCTTGCTTTTCCTTTGATCGAAACGCCTGTTCCCCGTCAGACAGACGGGTCTCACTACGCTCACCACGGCACCCCGGGACACGCCGCCGCCGCCCGGCCAATCACCGTTCCCACGCGCACATCCCCGCCTCCCAGGCAGATGGTTCTCCAAATGGGATTTACTTGGTTTGGGTTTTTACTCTTTTAGTAAATAGTAAGGGTGACGTGGTTAATCTATTATTGGAATGCTAGGGAATTGCTGCTTTCTCTTAAAGACCTTTTCCTGGCCGTCTAGCTCCTGATCAGATAAACGTGGAGAGCTCCGAGTGGAGGGACTGAAAAAAGTCTCTTTACGTTAGCCTTTCGGGGCGCCGGGGAGAGTGGCCCCCCGCATGGGGGACCATGAAGGACAGATCGGCTCCAGTGGTCAGCACCGGCCACGGGACAGCGGCTTCCCTGCGTCTGCAAAGGCAGCGTGACCGCCCTTCCCCTCCCCCCGCCCCCCCCATGCCACCCAGAGCGGTCTGTGAAAATACTTGAAAACGGTATTCATTCTAGAATGAAGTTTTGACGACAACCCCTGAAAAGGAAAACAATGTTGGTGCTTTCGGTCTTTAAATCCTGGGAGAAAATAAAACCACGCGGCTTTCTGCCGGTTCCTCACGCAGATTCACCCTGGGCGGAATTATTAAACGCTATAAAGAGGCAGGTGGCCCTGGATGCCGCTCGGTGACACCAGTGGGGTAGGCGCCCTCGCTCGCTCTGGTGGGCAGGGCCGCAGCTGTTAGTTGCGAGTGGAAGGACCTTCCTGCGGGACGAGCTCGGAGCGAGAAGAGTTCAGTGCAGCGGGGAGACAGCGTTTGCTCCCGCCCCGTGGGCTCCCGGAGAGGCAGCGGGGGGAGTCTGAGGGGTGCAGGGCCCTGGCAGCAGACCCTGGCGTCCCGAGAGCCAAGGTCAGGGCCTGAGCCCAGAGAGTGGACTAGATCAGGCTCAGGCCGCCCGCCCCGCCCCGCCGATGGCACACAGACCTTTTGGACACTCTCCCCACTGGGGATGGAGCCCGAAATCCAGGCATGTGCCCTTGACCGGAATCAAACCCGGGACCCTTAAGTCCCCCCAGGCCAACACTCTCCCCACCGAGCCACACCAGCCAGGGCGACAATCTGTATCTTTCAGAGCAGGGGTCGGCAAACTCATGAGTCCACAGAACCAAATACCAACAGCACAACGACTGACATTTCTTTGGAGAGCCACATTTTTTAAACTTAAACTTTTTCTAACGCCACTTCTTCAACATAGACTCGCCCAGGCCGGGGTGTTTTGTGGAAGAGCCACACTCGGGCCAAAGAGCCGCGTGTGGCTCGCGAGCCGCAGTTTGCTGACCATGGTTTTAGAGACACCGTCCCCACCAGTTAAAAGGATGCACACCACAGCCCCACTGTAGGCGCGAGTGCGGGATCTAACGAGATTAAACCGTAACCCTGACCTGCATCCCGTCCATCCCTCACCTGCAGGAGGCCCGGCGCCATCTTCCCGCCGCAGACCGCCAGCCGCGGGGAAATTGGAAAGGGAGAGCATTTTTACAAAAAGCAATTTACTAGTAATTTTTCAGCCTTTTCCCTGCCACTCCTGAAAAATGTGTGTCTGAATAAGTTTGTCCTGCCACGGCTATTCATCATCGCAGTGTGCCAGGAGCTGCACCGAAATAATTTTCCTACCTCCGATCCGTCTGCTGGTTTGAAAGATACCCGGAGTCTCGGGCCCGGCATCACACTAATAGAGCAAATCAGGAAAATTAATGGCCGGGGCAACATCATCATCATCACAGTAATCTAAAGTTCGAGGCGCTTCTGTTTTACAGGGAGCTGCTAATGATAAACACCATTTCCTTGTAAGTAAAAACGATGGCAACAAATAGAAATTCTCATCAGCACAGTGCGTTGTTCCCAACCCTTTTTTTTAAAAAGAAAAAAATATAAATATATATTTTTATTGATTTCAGAGAGGAAGAGAAGGGAGAGAGAGAGAGAAACATCAATGGAGAGAATCATAGACGGGCTGCCTCCTGCATGCCCCGCTCCGGGGATTGAGCCTGCAATCGGGACCTGTGCCCTTGACCGGGAATCCAACCATGACCTCCAGGTTCTTAGGCTGACGCTCCACCACGGAGCCACGCCAGCCGAGTAGCCCGGACCGTCCCCCCAGCACGGGGAGGGGCCGGGAGGCTCTGCGGGGACCGCTGGCCATGGCTGCAGACGCTCTTCGCAGGCTTCGGGCGGAATGTGCCCCAGAGGGAGCTTCCTTCCGTCGGAGGGCGGGCACCCATTTCCCACTGAGAACGAGCTTTTGAAAGAAAAGGGGGTGTTTGGCAGATGAGACAAACGGGACCTCCTGGCACCCACATTCTCGCTTCGTGCCTCGGTGCTTTCCTGCCTTCACTGGGCAAAGGAACGGACCCGTTCCCAGTGCCACACCTTCAGGCCCAGCTCTGTGTCCTCACCCGCCGCCAGCCTTCTCCTGTGAGCTCCCCTCCCGGTTCCTCCCGGTTCCTCAGGGTGCCGGGGCCGAGCTCTGTGTCCTCACCCGCCGCCAGCCTTCTCCTGTGAGCTCCCCTCCCGGTTCCTCCCGGTTCCTCAGGGTGCCGGGGCCGAGCTCTGTGTCCTCACCCGCCGCCAGCCTTCTCCTGTGAGCTCCCCTCCCGGTTCCTCCCGGTTCCTCAGGGTGCCGGGGCCGAGCTCTGTGTCCTCACCCGCCGCCAGCCTTCTCCTGTGAGCTCCCCTCCCGGTTCCTCCCGGTTCCTCAGGGTGCCGGGGCCGAGCTCTGTGTCCTCACCCGCCGCCAGCCTTCTCCTGTGAGCTTCCCTCCCGGTTCCTCTGGATCCCGTGCCCCGGGAGGGACTCTGTTTGACTGTCAGCCAGTTCCTGGAACACGGGCAGTCAGCCCACGTGTGGGCAGAGGGCAGGAGCAGGCTCTGGACAGTGCAAAAACTTGAATCCAAGTAAGGAAACCCCGGAAATGACTAGGTCTGGGGAGATGCAGTGTCCCTCAAATCATCTGTTGTTATATAGAGGGAGCCTTGCATGAATAAATGAATTTCAAATTATGGACCCTGTGTGTGTGTGTGTGTGTGTGTGTGTGTGTGTGCGCGCGCGTGTGTGTGTGCGCGCGCACGCTGCTGGGCAGTCTGGACATGCGTGTGCATCCAGATGTGGAGGGACGGGTGGGGCGAACCATAGCGTGCTTGTGGGAGAAGGATCCATGTGCGAGCAAACCCGTGGGGAGGGGCCGCCGGCTGCATAACCAGAAGCAGGAAGGGCGTGGCCGGAGCCTCACTGCTGGTCTGAGGGGACAGGGATGCCGCAGGGCCCACGGAAGGACCCGCACCCTCGGACCAAGCCTGCCCCGACAGAGAGGTCTGGCGTGGCCCTGCGTGTGGTCCACACGGGGGACGCAGTCCATGGATGGAGCGGGGGCTGGGGAGCAGGCTTGTCCCACCCACATCCCCCACCCATCGCTTGGGGGCAATACACAGGAGCCGGGCTCGCAGCGCGGGAGCCTGCATAGGGCCTGTGACATTCTGGCGTTGCTGGTGGCTCTCCGGCCTGAGACACCTTGGAGTCGGAGGTGCTGGCGGGAACTCAAGGATAACTGGGTCAGCATTTTCTTCCTCGGGCCCCGAGGACACATGGACATCCAGCCACTCAGAGTGGAGGGTGGCGACAGGACACTGTGGGTCTTTAACACCCAGCTTCCAGGGGCCAGGGAAGGGACGAGGTGGGGTGGGGGACGACCCCCCTACCTTCCTCCCCCCAGGAGTGAGCGCCTTGCCCACAGGAAAGGGCTGCCTGGGCCTGCTTTGCTGGCAGGGCCTGCTCCTCCCACGGAAGCCCTGTCTGCGGGCAGAGCTCGCTGCTGGTGGACTGTGGGCTGTGGCTTCGTCAGACTCGTTATCCCGCTTCATTCTTTGTGATTCACTGAAATGACCTTTTTCCCGGCACTCGTCTGTTTACGGGGACCACAGCGGGTGACTAGATAATCACCCCCAAGAGGGGGCGTTAGGGAGGGTGCCACCCCATCTCAGCGTGGCAGCCCGTCAGAGGGAGCCGTCCGAGCCCCGTGCACCCCGTTAGTGGGATCTTGCGGGGAGCCCGCCCCCGTTGGGACCCATGTTCATCCCGTCAGAACGGGGGGGGGGGGGGGGCGGGGGGGGCTCCTGGAGAGTCGGAGCAGGGTTAGAGGCGGCAGAGGCGGCAGAAAAACCCTCTAGGTCAGGCCCTACTTGTCCGTGATCTCAGCAAACATGATTTAACCAGCAAAAACCCATCGTCCATTCCTGCAGCCCGGGATATGGCTCAGCGCTGGACTCACGCTGGCCT